CTTATGTGAAATCTATGGAGGAAAAGAAGTTGCTTTGATGTGCGTAAATTAAACTTTACTTATATCACGAATGAGTCTAAAACGATAAAAACCTCTCTTCTCCATGCCCGTTATGCGTGGTATTCTATTGTCCGGTTTCTTCTTAGGCCTTCATTTCTCTTTTCTTTTCGTATCAGCGTGGCGAGAAAAGTTTAAGCATTGATTTGATTAAGAAGTATCAACTCACTGAAAATCCTAGTTTGTGTGTAATACTGGAAGTTGTTGTTATAATTTTTCAAGTGGCTTGCCCCCGGTTTCCTATATTTCGAACAGCTTCATAGTCGACTCACCTGCTTACCAGTGACATTAATTCTATCGCACACGGAGCCCTAGGCACAACAACTGGTCTCCGAATTCCGGCCCGTCACAAATGCAGCGGAAATCTGGATGAACAACCCAGTCTGAGGTGTCACCTTACCCAGTGTCTCCGAGGGCTACATATCCACGATAATGCAATGCCACTGAGTTTTCTATCACTTTACCTTGTATGAATCCATCCAGTAGAGGACAATTAGCAACCGGTACACCTCCAAGACAATGCTGCATACTTCAGTGTCAAATCTATGAGGTTTTACGCATGTGTAAAATCCACCGCTACTGAACAACAGTTCTTCTGATGCCCAATCACTTCCACCGCAACAAGAATCTCCGTAGTCGTTAGCCTGAGCTACTGGGAACGACAACACTTGAAGAGTGGAAAATGCTTGAACTTAGATAGTCACCTGGATTAAACGATTATACGGATACTTACTTATTTGGGAAAACATTGAAGTAAGTTACTCTTGACCAACAGAGCTATGAATATAAGAATTGCAGTCAGAGTAGACATTTATCTGACGAGACATTGGAATCTACGTACGAGTCAAACATGTCCACTGCTCATAATACAAACATGAAATGCTGTGCGGATTTGATGCCACTTTAGCGTGTGAGATTTGTGAGTGAGAGTGATCTGAACTCAAAACAACGTGTATGTACCGTAAAGTGATATTTTCTTGCTCCTTTAACAGCTCTCAGACACTTAATTTCATGATAGAGTTTAATGTTCCCCCTTTTGAACCAATCAACACTGCTGAAATCTTGTAGATTTCTCTACCACTACCAATCTGGTGATGCCCGTAAACCGGCTTCTCTCATGTTCAACTGGTAACCTGAGGACGAAATATTTATATAGTTTACGCACATCTGTGTGAGTATCACAACCCTTGCTGTCAGGGCTAAGAATAGCAACGTTATGTCTAAGACAGTTGGATGGATTCTAAGCATTCGCACCAAAAGTGGTATGTCTATGTCAGCTGCTCACATTTTTAAACCACACTTCTACTTCTGGATCCATATCAAGGCACAGGCGGCCATCTACAGTGGGCAGCCGGCCACAGCAGTCACTGTCGGCGTTATGACGTCGTTTTTCGACAACCACCAGCAAGTCCTTAGTGTAGAAATGAATAAGATACGGTTCGCCACAGATACAACAGATACAGTTGCCCTGTTGCTTGAATAGGTGCTGGTAACCAGTGTCCGTACAGTGCTGGAGCAAGTGTCCATGATACAGTGTCGGAAATTTCGACTCCGTTACATTCAATGTAAAGAATATCGGAATTTCAAACTGCGACACGAACTCTAGGTATCTTGTTTCACATAGGAGGGAATGTCTGTCTTGTTTAGTTGATAAAACGTTACTCGAAGGCTCGCGGTTTGTGAAAACTGTAGAAATGGCACCCTTTAACATGCGCCGCAGGTGCTTAATAGCTAGACAGCTGGTGACTCCTTACCAAATGTGTTGTAACGGCACTGGGTTGCGTCCACGCGTTCTGAAAATAATGCTGCCGGTTGCCATTCGCTGTATGTGTAACTGCCCCTGCAGCGATGCTATAAGAGTCTGTCGCCATAGTCAAAGGAGTTCTGACGTCTCTTCTGAAGAAAACTGTCCGTTCGTAAACGGCTTCTTGGCCTTCTCAACTGACTGAACTGCTGCAAACAAGTAGAGAGAGCTGGAACGTCCTCATAGGCAGTTAGTTAATGGCTTTAGAACAACGGCATAGTTCAGAATGAAGTAACAACAAAAGTTGACAGGCCTTAGGAAAAGACCTACCTTATGAACCAGCCTTATAGTGGGTGGTCCTCCACATTTTGTACCTCACCTGGGACTGGTTTATCCCTTTGGTGCCAATGAAATGTCCTAACAACTTCAGTTAGCTTTTTCGAAATCCACATCTATGGAGACTAATCGCCATCTCGTATTTTCCGACCTTTCGGACAAGGGCTTTTAGATGATTTGTGTGTTCCGTTTCGTCTGAACTAGCGATAGGTAAGTTGTCGATGTAAGTTCAGACGGAAGGGAGTCCACAAAGGACCTAATCTGTGAACCGTTGAAATGTCTGAGCTGCGTTCCTGAAACCGACAGGTATGCGGACGAATTCATATAAACCAAGTAGAGTGTCAGTGGCCGTCCTTGGTACATCAGTGGGACTAATAGGAATATTTTAACAGGCTCCAATGGGATCTTTCCGTGATGGGACATTATTGTTTAGTGGATTGTTAGCAAAGTCGTGGATATGAGGTAGTTTATGTCAATCGGGGACCGTTTGTCTGTCAGGATCCTGGCAATCGCCAGATAGCCAAACAGCATGAAAAGATTTTCTCGGCACCACATGCAGTGAAAACCGTACGCTGCTGCAGAGTTGGATGATACCAAGCTCAAACTCTGATTTCGCTAACCGGAGTCTGTGTGTAAGTGGGAAGTGCAGACACCGGTGGTTCGTTTCTTCGGAAGTGATGCAGAACGTCATGTTTTAGGTCCATTTGACTGCAGTCATGATTCAGTAGGTCATAAAATAAATGCAGGAACTTGATGTATGGCGAGGTGGTCGCATAGGTGACCGCTAATCTTATGCATGTCAGGTCAGTGACCCCGCCATTAATGTTGGATGCACAGTTTTAATAGGCCAGCCCACGCCTCTTCAGGTGAACTAACAATTCATAGTGGCTCAGGAAATCGCACCCAAAAGCAGGCTGCAGCACAACCGTCAGTGTGAATGAGCAAGTGCAGATATGAAGGCCGAAATCTAGTGCCATGGTCTTTTGTCCGCAGGCAACAATACCGGACTTATTTGAGGCCCGATGAAGTAAAGTCGGATTGGGGCGTCGACGTTCGTAGTCGTTAGGACGACGGAAGCGCGATTCAGCTCCAGTGTGCACCAGAAGATGAACACCAGTTGTTCTGTCTGCTACGCAGAACAAACGACTTTTGGGCTTTTCAGTGCTAACGATAGAAGTCGTCAGACTGCCGTCTTGTCCGTTCCCCGGAACAGTCTGTCTTTATCTCTAAAATTGCACGTCAATAAACAGTGGCTTGCATGGACATCAGTAGATATCCACGGCATCTTTTCGTAGTCCATTCGAGCGTGGTCTGCATCAGCGTGATACAGTTGTGCCATGGTTAGACTTGTGGTTTGGTGTTATTGTTATCTGGTCAGTTAAGGGGTTTGTTTTCTCATTTAACCCCCGCATTTTATTCGTGGGTCATATTTCTATGTGGTTAAGGCACCAATGCAAAGCGTAGTTCCTTTTAGTGCCCCACCAGCCAATGCAGTGTTGCTATCAATGCCGGTATTTCCGTCGCCAAATGCGGGAACCTGCTGATTGGCTGTTGGCAACCGTCGCAATCACATCTCGTGAAAGAGCCTTTTGTCTATATTGTGACCTGTAGTTGATATATGAATACGTCTTGATAGTTGTAGGAGAGTTTCATCTTCCAGCTCTACGTTGCTGAGCAAGTGACCCAATGTTTATCTGTCAGTCGGTCAGTATGACACACTGGGTGACCGAGTGCCTAAGACGGTCGCATGGAAATTCGGTGCCTGGTTGTGCAATGTGCTGGTGAACATGACCTGCGATTTCGCCTGATGAGATGATGCTAAGCAGACCAGATTTCACATTTTGTGAAGTGATCTCATTTGCAGTGAAGTAACTCTTTGATATAGCAAGCCACAATTGAGGGTTTGTTGGAGTAAATAATGGAGAACTAAGAAAGAGGGTGGTGACGGGTCCCGGTATAATGGAGTTTCTGTCACTACTACTAAATATATATAACAACAATATGGGAGTGCAAGCAAACTGCGTGCCAAAATGAATCGAAGGTTTGCTTGGAATGAGAGTTAGTGGAAAATGAGTCGGAAATACGCAATATATTCATGAACAGATTAGATAATTCATGAAACTCACGAGATAAAGATCCATTATTTGTTTACTGGTGAGCCGTAAATACGCAACGACAGTAGTCCCAAATTGACTACTTTGTGAACATGGATGACACCGGCATATGCCACCTGTCTTCAACTAAAATGCTGTGGGTCTTATTCTTGACGGCAGGCGTCAACAACAGGTAGATGGAAGGACAACAGCCATGAGATATGAAAAAAAATCATTAACTGTATTACTCAGTATGCAGTGTATATAAAAAGAATTGGCCTAAATATTGATATGATGTTGTCACATGGAATGTTTGCTAGGAAATTTATCCAGAGGGGTTGACAGCCGTAGCAGTACTCATAATGTTTATATTTACTCTTCGGTAACATAGCCCATATCATTTTACCCTTATTCCGTTATTCACAATCTAATATGTTTGCATATCGGAGTTATACAGATGCATTTTGAGCTCCGCGGCAGCCTGTAGCTTTCTAACAGACTGAATCTGCATGATGTAAATAAAAATCTACTGAAAACATTCACCGGAACAGACCTAAAATCAAAAAAAGCTGAGGAGACAACCTGGCCACTGCAGTATCATGGCGAAACGGCAATAACTAAACCCGGAGAACTAGGATTGAAGGTAAAAGTTATCACTTTCTTATACTCACACTTTTGCTGGTGGTTTCAGTCATTAATGTCCTTGCATAATGACGCTCAGTATGGTTTGTAACGGTACTCTGTTAACATGATGGCCGTTTGTCATTAAAATGGTGACGAATAATGAAGGGAGGAAGGTGGATATCTCTCTCATTCACCGAATCACTGCTTCTTCAGTGGGTGGAATAATCACGGCCTTTGTTATGACACCCTTAGATGTCTTGAAAGTGCGCATGCAGGTAACAGCTGTCAATATCTTATTTTTCGATAGTCTGATAGAGTGTATTCCGAAAGCAAGTGTTTTACTTATTGCAACGAAATGATTAAAAGACTCTGTACATGCTCACTCAGCCCTAATACATGTGCTGTATCCTGGTCAATGCGTGCTATGAATTATGAGGGAAGGTGGAATTGGTGTACTCTTAACGAATCTCATTGCTGTCCTACTTGTATCATTCATTTCGACAATCCTTCTTTCTTCACATTCTCTCGGCGTCTTCCTACTGCCTCAGTAAGTTAATCCGATATTTCATTGTTTTGGTGGAATGTAAAAATACTCACAAGTGGGGAACTGTATAAGGTCTTAATAAGAGTGCTAGACAAGAAAGTCGAGACATTCGACAAAGCTGAGGTAAGATGTCGCGAAAACCTGGAAAAACTCATCTCTGGCCGATCATATACAAATATTTGTATTTGCACTAGTCTTCTGCTCATTTATACCATATCTGATTTTAGTGTGCTATCCGAGTGCTTATTTAGATTCAAGCGTATATTGGGAAGTAGTTTCAGTCCTACTCCGTAGCTGTGAGGCTGTCTCTTATAATATAGGAGAAATGAGGGTTTTACGGACAGTTGATTCGATATTTATCGAAAGTTTTACTGTTATGACAAAATCACATTGAGTAGTCCTGAAACCGAGCGTAAATAATTAGAGGCAAGAAGTCAATTAGATGTTAAAGTTTACCAATTCAAGTAGCTAAAATGTGTCAAAATGTCAGGTTATAATGCATAATAACTTGAGAAGGATTAGGTTGGCGAAATGCCAAGTGGTCAGGTCAGAATCCGATATCAGTTTTGAGCATCTCATCAACCTCACTTGCTGGTTTTCTCCGTCACACTCTTCTTGCTCTTAATTATATATATATATATATATATATATATATATATATATATATATATATATATAGTCCGTGGCGAATACTACTTCTAAAATAAAAAATCCCCATTCATCTTAAAAATACATTACTGTATAGTGCTCATTTGTGACTTGCTTCCAGATGGATATCACGAAGCTCTAATGAGAAGCCGTGACCTGTGGGGTCAACCAGTTGAAAGTGAAGTGGATGCCACCTGAAGACCGTAGGTGGTAGCCGCGCTATATCGCGAATCGACAGAATTTGGAAATTGTGAACCGCTGAAAACCGACCCAGTGGCTGAATGATCAACGCTTTCGCCGTGAGACCTGACGATCCTGAGTTCGATCCCTAGCCGGGTCATGGGTGCGTACTGCTGAGGAGTCCCATACTAGGACGGAACAGCTGTCCAATGCTCCCAGGTTTTCAATGGTTCCTCAACTGATGTCAGTCCACGATGAATACTATAATAATAATAATAATACACCATTCTTTAATACGACTTTCATAGGTGATCCGAATTTAGTGCTGTGCATTGGAATTCTATTGTTGGGCTATTCTACACCCCTCAGTATTTTTGAAAAATTAGTTTCGTATAATTTTTTTGTTAGATGTATCAAACAATAAAACAGTATTACTCACCAAATAACGATTCTGTTCTAGTTCACAGAACCATTGCGCTTGTGTACCAGGTTTTACTTTGATTTGTCTGTCTATAGCTCACTGCTCATATTGATATCAAGGTTTGCTGTATCCAACGTATAAGGTAACATGTAATTATCTTTGACCGCTCTTACATTTTCGGAAAATAGATTAATAAGTTTACTAAAATTGCATAGTTTGACTGTGAAGCTGTGACTGATTAATCTGTACACTTAATTAATCGATTGCGAATTAGAACACCATCTTACCTGCTATGGTTTGGGCTACTAGGTAATAACGCTACCCTTCGTACAATATGTAAGACTTATTACTAAGTGCATGAATGTATATGTTTTTATAGCAGTATTTAATAAGTGATAATTAGTTTCGCTATGTGTTGGGAAGTCTCATAAACGTATAGAAAAGATTCATTTTTTCCCGAGCTCGGGAGTCGACCGACGAAGCAAACAAAATTGCATGATTACAGCATGAACTCTGTTCGTTAAAAACTCCCGATCTCTAAGTATTCACATAAGGTTTTCTTTAGTGTAGGCATGCCAAGTACAGAGAGTACTAAAACTTGTAGATCAGAAGTATTGTATGTAATACGTGCGTATATGAACCCTTTGTTTAAAACCGTTTAAGTATGTTACATATTTATTTGTTGATTATGATAGATTTTACTATTTCAAGATGTTTGCAGCTTATGTAGTCCTGGCAGACGAAATTAACCTTCACAAAAAGCTAGAGATATGCCATCACCGATTGCCTATCGTTTTATTGTGATACGTATTCAATGCTTTAGTCAGCGTCATCAATTTTTGTAATGTCGGTCGTATTTAATACGTATATCATGCAGTACTGAAATCCTCCTTTTTCTGGCAAATTATAGATCGTTATATAGTCATTAAAGTTATATAAGACTGCGCTTTGTTCGTTTAAAGAATTATCTTCTAACCAGTGGTGTCATATGTCAAAGAAGTGTTTCAGGTTCTAAAGTTTCGGTACTTATGTATTATTAGTGGTCACAATATGCATGTTCATAGTCTGTCACATAAACATGCACATGGTCGCTGGCTCTCATTTCCACGAAGTTGAGCAATATTAGAGTCTCAAGGTCGAAGTGGTTTGAGGAACGTTTATGTGTAGATTGTGTAGGTGAAATTTCGAAAACAGGTGTTCATGTCAGTTTTCAAGCATAGCTGTACTTACATTCTGTATTTAAGTGATAGCACTTGTTAAATCTCGGAGCTAAAATATTATTTTGCTTAAAAAGTCTGTAATCACTGCAGCTCTTAATCATTAAACAGTGAATGACGGTTGAATAGTTCCTGTTCACAGTTATCAGAGCCCATTCATCACCCAGTTGTCCATGACTGTAGAGTCTGTATGCTTTATTCTACGTGGCAGAAACCTGTATTATTCATAGTTATTAATACAGGATACCACGCCTTAATTTCGTTAATTTACTTCTCCTAGTTAAGATATTAAACTTAAATAATTCTGATCGATAGCGTATTTCACTTACATTCATGGAGGATTTTGCTAGATGATGCCTAGGAGTTTTTAATACACTGAGGTGCTTACATGAAGTTCATGTGTATTCCTACCACTTTTGGATTTACACGAGGTCCTATGTAGTTGTATGTATCTTTCTATCTGCTTTAATATTTTTGTTCGTGTACCGATTTTCGCGAAACCACTGACTACTTTGTTAACGTTGTTGACTACTTTGTTTGTAGTGAAAGTTGTTTTTCTGTTTAGTCATGATGTTTTTCTTCTCTAAAGGATACACTGATGAAAATAATTCGTAATGAAGGTGTTTTATCATTATGGAGTGGACTTTCTCCAACACTGTAAGTTAGAATTACACTATCTTATTTTCTATATCCTAGTGTAATGACACTTCCTCAAACTATTATCTACTTCACTGTCAATGACTGGTTAAAATATCAAGTTGGATATACTTCCAAAACGATTAACAAGTCAAAAACAGCTGAACAGAACTTTATTTCTGCTAAATCTTTCATTCCACCTCTAGTTGGAGGTGTATCACGGGTTTTCGCTGTAATGGCTGTATCACCAATGGAATTATTGCGGACGAAAATGCAGGCAAAAAAACTACCCTACCGGGAAATAACAACTTTGCTTGTTACAACAGTGAGACAGGTATTTCTATGTTAGAAGTACATATGTATTTGGTTATAGAGTTAACTACGCATCCGATTGTTTAAAATGAATTAGGTGAACTATGGTTACAATTTGTGACTCCGTCATTGTAATCCAAGTATACAGACCAGATATATTATATTGATATTAACCCAATCTATCAATCAATAAGAAACAAAAAGAAGGTTAAATTTCAGGTTATCAGGACAACTAATCAAAATGAATATGGAGACACTGACAAGAGTTTGGTAGAAACAACCAGTCACACACAAGGTCATCAGAACAAGCTGCCTGTGCAGAAAACCTTGTAGCTCATTCATTTCTTAATTGTGAGCTCGACGATGTAACCATCTAGCTCATAGAACACTATCAAAATTATTCTCCTAAGCTACAAATATTCTCCGTCATCTCATGTATACAAACCATTGTGATTTAGAGTACGATAATGTAATTAAGTAGTATTTTAATTTTACAAAATCATTAGGTGTATAGGGGTACATGTAGCTGTGATTCAGTGGTTTAGGGAGATGACTATCAGCCACTGAATTACGCTTTCAAGCCTTGCTGCACCTACCGAGGTTTGGGAAGCCAGGTAATATCACTATCCCTCACACAGTAGGTGTGACTCATTGTCTACTGTAGGGATGTGGACAAGGTGACTGAGTGCGTATCGTTCGTTACGTTTCGCACAGGGGATACACATATACATACCCCCTAATGATCCATTTCGAATATATTTAGTCAAAATTTTGCAATGTACCATATCACTTTTACGTTTTCACGAAAGTACTTTATTACCGCTGCACTTAACTTGAAAGATTAGTGTATCTCAACAGTACAAATTTCAATTCATACAACTAGTCTTCGTTTTCAATATCACTCTTGAGTATAAATGACTCATTTACTCCTTGTCCACTTTAATACCCTCCATGTTTGAAATTTCATACTACTGTGTACTGTATGTGTTGATGATGATGATGACTGTTGCATAGTGCATACACATTTGAGGATCTTCATTTTTCTCCCTGTTTCAGTATACTATTGATCCTCTTCATAATTTGTTGTGTCAGTATTTTCATGGGTTACAGTTGGAATTGGGAGGAAAACATGGGTAACGAATCAGCAACCTACCGATTATTGGCACGATGCTTTGCCAACAGAACTTCAACACTCAGTTATTAACCACACTTTTAGATCAATTCAGCCGCCTAGGCTTTTCCTTGGTTATGTAAATGTGATGCGTGACTGTTGTTTCATAATCATATTAACTAGTCAGTCAGGTCTTGTCATTTCAATTCAAGTTAACCTGATTCAGAGAAGGAAATAATGACCGACTGTTGATGAGTATCTGAGATAATGTTAGTTTGGTCACTTGTTCAAATTATGTACCAATTCAGACGTCCCTTTCCTTTTCGGTCATCACCCCACTACCGTAGAGAAGTCTGTTAAAAACGGCTATCTTAGATAGTTCCATTAACAATGTAATTTTGTTTCTTAGTGTGTTTACAATTCTCAGTGCTAGGCATCTTAAATTTTGTATTTCATTCAGTGGATTACTTAGTAGATCCAAGTTTTAAGATGATGGGAAATATTTACAGCTTAGGAGGATAATTTTAGTGTTATGCTGTCTGAGTTCTCATTCTAGACAACATCATCAGGACAAACTTCGGAGTGAATTGAGCTATAAGGTTTTCTCAACACGTGGCTTAGTTACTTCTTATGATGATCTTGAGTTTTATTTCATTGTTTCTTGCTAAAATCTTGTCATTGTCTCCCTATGTATTTCCATTAGGTATCCTGCTAATGTGTACTTTAACCTTCTTGTTTCAAGTGTTAGTATGTTTGTTGAACACCGACTCACCTGAGTATTAGTACCATGCTCCCGAAAATTCTATGACATACTTTTACATTTCCTCAATCCAGAATTTCGACATTTTGCAAGTCGAATTAATGTCCAAAAGTGTCTGCATATGAGCGAAAATATGTCATGATGTTTAACTGCAATATTCATGCAAAGTTTATGCGGCTCAATGACTCAAACATTCAACTTTCAAGTAACATCCTGGGTTCGAACCTCACCAGTATGCTCAATGGTGAGGTTAAACCAACGATATTACACAAGAAAGGCAAGTTGGTCGGTGAATTTGCTCACCTTCACCGAGTAATATGGTCAAGACGTGTGTTGTGTGCACTAATTCAACGCCTACCTGGAAGCATAAAGTTAGCCGAAGTAAGAAACAGTTGAAAGTGTGGGTTAATGGTGATCAAACCAAAACCTCGCACCAGGTAATGAAGTTTTTGACTGTTGGCCTGAGTCGTATAGGGTAGTGTAGACTACCTGGATGTGGTTTGTCGAGACGATAGAAATCAATGGCTGGAAACGTTCGGTAATAGGACTTAAAAATCGCTAACCATGGAACAGGTTTAATAAACTTCATATATTTGTTTATTTATGCTTTTTCTAACCTTAATATCAATCCTTGTCGATCTAATTTCTCCTTGTATGCTACTGTGAGTTGTGGCCACCTGAAGTGATGCTCTGTTGTGCCAAGTTCGACGCTGATATGTTTCACTCTTTCTCAAACTGTCCTCCATCTACTGCTACCTAAACATCCAGGTCTTATCACAAGCACAAACAAATCAACATAGAACCGGCTTAATATCAAGACCTTTTACTTATTAAGTTTAGCTCATAGCTGAATACATAAGCACAAATGAACCGAGTTGACCTGCGTTATGTAAATGCAGCTTAGATAAAATGAAAATAATTTATTTTAAGTGGTCAGTATGAGAATGACATTGTGCATTAACAGTTGACTAAGGACACCAAAATATCTAATCAAAATCCTGCTGTGAGAAATGGCCGCTAAAAATGCAAGGTATAAAGCGATTACAGGGTTTTGATCACAAGTGTTTTCGAAGTATTGGTCTCGTTCGTTGGAATCATTGTATGAACAATGTTAAAGTCAGGCGAAGAGTACTAGGCAAAACAGACTGGTCGATTGGTGAGACTATGAACCTTCATCGACTGAAATAGCTTGGACTGCGCATGCCGAGCTACCGCCTACCTCAACATGGCATGCTAGGGAAGAGGGTTCAGGATAGCCAAACCAAGACATGGCACCAGTTGATAAAGTCCCTGTCTGTTTGTGCAAGTCATGTGAGGAGACGTAGAATGTCTCTCTGGGGTCTGCGAGATGATAGGAAACAGTGGTTGGAAGACTCTTGGTGAAATGACTGAAAATCGGTCTCAATGGCGCAGATGTATTCACTCCTTGATATCTCATAAAGCTTTAATATTCGCAGCTTTATCTTCAAATTGTTTATTGTGTCCCACAACTTTTTCTACTTTGATATAACTCCTTTTCCATCCACCTGTTCATTGTATACCTAAACTCACAGCTATTATCTTATTGATGGTTAAGAATGTACTGAGTGATGATTGAAGGTGAGATAAAAATCTGGACCGCAGCCGGATTCGAACCAGCGATCACCGGGTTACCGGCTCGGTGCTCTAACAACTGACCAGAATTTTATTTCGCTTTAATCACCAAGAGTTTTGCCCGACTACCATGTGAATTCGTGACGCGTTACTACCACTTGGTCGCATTCACATTGGATGCCTAGTCAGGACTTTTCATACCAATCGAAATCTAACTGAACTAGAGAGAGGGAGCATCATATTTATTGTGATTTGACTATCTAAGATAGCCGTAGTTTGGCAGGCTAGTATTTGTACTGGGTCGATGGTTGAAGGTGAGATGAAAATCTGGACCGCGACCGGATTCGAACCAGCGACCACCGCGTTACTGACCCGGTGCTCTACCTACTGAACTACGAGGTCCAAATGCGATCCAGATTTTCATCTTACCTTCAATGGTCACCCAGTACAAATACTAGTCTGCCAAACTGCGGCTATCTTAGATAGTCAAATCATCATCGTCATTATCAACATAGGACCAGGCATTAATGCGTAACGGTCCGAGTTGCCACACCTCATATCAGCACATCAAGTAAAAAGGTAGTGAGACGAAGGATGAAGATAAGTGAATGCAGTCAAAAGAAATATAAAGTACGAGAAGAAAGGAAATAGCAGTGACAAAATGGTGAGATTCGGTACAGCGTTGTTAAGATGAGGATAATGTGTGTATACATCTGCGCCACTGACTTCGGTTCTGAGCCATATCACCTAGGGTCTCCAACCACTGGTTCCTCTTGTCCTGTGGATCCCAACCGGCTAGTCTGCATCGTCCTACATGGCTTAAACCAACAGTCAGAGACTCCATACATTGGTGCCATGTTTTAGTGTGGTCACGTTGGGCGTTTTTCCGGTCTGGACCCACCTGAGCCAACATTGTGTGACGAGGCAATCGGTGACTAGGCATAGGTAGTACGTGTCCCAACCAGCTATCTCAGTCGATGAAGGTTCCTAACCTCGTCAACTGACTTACCTCTTATCCCCAAAACTGTACACCTGACTTCTGCATTACTCACATGGTGACACCACGGAATACGTCCTATACTACGAAGGCAACGGTGGTCAAATACTTGAAGCCTTTTTGTATCCTCCACTTCAAGTGTTTGACCACCGTTGCCTTCGTAGTATAGGACGTATTCCGTGGTGACACCACGGAATACGTCCTATAGTCAAATCATAGTTAAGAATGTAACAAATAGAAAAATATTTAAAACATTTTTGTCAGAAATACCTTTCTGTATCCACCTCTTATGTGATATTCTGTTAAAAAAAAAATCTATTTATTTATAAGGATGGTTTGAAAAGTCTATGGTTAGGTGCTGGACCAACTCTTCTACGCGATGTTCCTTATTCAATGATATTTTGGTTTACTTATGATTGTATGAAATCTGGATATATCAATAAACAGACAGGAATCGATATATTGTCAAAAAGTAAATCGGCTAACACTCTTGATGGAGTATCTTTTTCATGTCTGTTTAGTTTTGCAGCAATTTCTGGACTGGTAAGTCATCTATTTATCTGTGTAATTGTATTCACTATCAGATCAGGGATAGGTAAACACGTAGAATCTCTTCTTTTTATCTACAGTTTCAATAAGATGGATGTAAGTTGTAGGGTTGTTGGTTCATCCACTCAATATTTTCAGTCACTGATAGCTTCTGTTTCAAACTTTGCTAGTCTGATTGAAGGTTAAAGCAAACAGGTATTTAGTATTTAGGTAATACTTTTTTTCAAATATATCTCAATAACTATGTGAAAAGGTAAACAAAAATCAACGTAGAACATTGTACACAAGTGGATCAGTTCAAATTGCTACACCTCACAGTGGTACATGAAGAACAAATGCCTAGAAAAAGAGCAATATCAAGGTAGAAAAAGTTGTATGATACAATAAATAGTTTGAAGATAAAGGTTAGTGTGAACATTCAAGCTTTAGAAGCCGTCAAACAGTGAATCCATCTGTATCGTTGTGACAGATTTTCAGCTACTGATTCCTTTCGTCTCGAAGACCCCAGCCAGACAGCCTACATCTCTTAACACAACTCAGACCTACAATAAGAGACTTCATCGATTAGTGTCATGTCTTGGTTTGACCATCCAGAACCGTCTTCTACTCTATTCCAACTTTCCGGAGGTAGGCGGTAGCTTAACGTGCTCAGCATATGTCTAATCCACGTCACACTCTCTTCAATAACTATGTACAGGTTAGTATTTTAGACAAACAGTCGTACTAAGTATATCAGAGTTGTCATACTATTGGAATGCTCCAACTTTTTTAGATACGCCAAAGTTCGAATGAGCAACCCACTGGTTGAAAATCAACTATCAAATTCAATACGGAACAGCTTCATTCTGTATGTATTAAACGCTGTTTTTAGATTGGAATGTGTATCGGTCTGCTTTACTTAAACAATGTCAATGGATATGGAATAAGACTTTGCAATCACCTGTTTAGAGCGTGCCTACAAATACGTGGTATTATAAATTGACTAATCAACTCACCACCATTCAACCATACTTAAACGTTATGTTTTATGTGTTACTGAATGCAACGTACACATAAGACCTTAGTTTATTGATCATACGAATGCGAGAACGGGTGTGTACAACTTTAATGAAGGACTTTTGTTTTTACTCATTGAAATACGTTCCTATTGCTCGCGTGTTTGGTAGAAACACCGTATGAGCAATGTTGGGGTCAGGAGAAAGGTAGGTACTAGGCAAGACAGGTAGCTTGATTAGTGAGGTTGTGAACCTTAGTCGATTGAGATGGCTCGGACATGTGTTACGCATGCTGAGCCACTGCCTGTCTCGAAGTACTGTGCTAGGGGAAGTTGGATTAGGTTGGAAGGCTGTTGAGGGTAGCGAGACTAAGATATGGCACCAGTCGATGCAGTCCTTGACTGTTAGTCTGTACCGTGTCGGGACATGTAGACTACCTTGAAATGGTGGGGAATATTGTAGCTTAGGTGGATGATCTTGGTTGCATTGTTTTCTCTGAGCTGGGTTGTTTAATCGTAGAGCTTTCATCGTCTTTCTTCTAGACGACATCAACACACTTCAGTATGAAACCATCTATCAATATCTCTCCGTGCGTCATTCAGTAGCTTGACCTGACCAATCGGTTTATGATTGGCTGTTTCCTTTGTTTATTGTGTCATTGACTGTATAGATTTCCTTGTTGGTTGTTCCTCTGCTTCACCTCTGACCTTGTTGTTGTTTATCATTTTTCCTATGGGTTGATAGATTGGGTCTATGTCTATACATCTGTTGATTGCTGACTGACTGGCTGACCTAAATGCCAAGCCATAGTAGTTATCCATATGCATTGAGATGAGTGATGAAATGTCATGTATGACGTTGAATAGCTAATTGGTGTTCATGTAGACGAAGGTGAAGAGGGCGACCACTTCGTCTAGTGTAGTGTTGACTATGGTTATTGCAGCAGATTTTGTAAATGATATTCGGTTTGTCTTCTTTGATTGTTGTATGCTTCGCTCTGCATAATAGTGTTTAGAGGGAATTTGTTGGTTTATGAGCCATACTAATTCCAAGTGGTCTCAGTAATCTTGTCATGATTTTTGATATGTTCCTTATCTACCATAAGGATGATGCGCTTATTGATTTCTGTGGATGACTTTATAGTTGATGATGTACGGGGATAGACAGGCATGTTCTGATAAAGTTTCGTGGGTAGCCATTCTTCTTTAAGATGGACATCAAGTAATTTTCTTCGTTTCTGTGTGACGTTCTTGTACTGTAGTGTGTTCTCGCTCTTTTCAAAAGAGTCTGTATGCCAGTAATGTTGTGTGTTATTGTGTTGTTGTGTTGTTGCTACTGTAGTTGAGGATGTGGTCAGTGTGTATTGGTCTCTTGTACACTTAGGTTTCCAGCTTTCCAGCATTTGTTCTACTGACTAAAACATCCAGGAATGGTAGTTGTTTGTTTGACTCCTTCTCTCCATTGTGAATTTGATGTCATTGAAAACGTTGTTGATCAGACTGTGAGTGTTTTTTCTATATCATCTTTTTTAATGATGACAAAAGTATCATCTCTACATAGCTGATGATGTCGCCTAGAAAGACGATGAAAGCTAAGAGAACACAATACAACCAAGATGTGAACTATCTGTCTGGGTTCCCCAAGAGGAAGGAATCAGTAGTTAAGGACTCTTGGTGATAGGGCTGAAAATCAGTCTCAGTGGCACACATGTTTCCACTCTTTTCTATCTTCTATAGCTTGAATATTCGCACTAACAGTTATCTTCATTATTGTTTATTCTTTCACACAACTTTGTCCACTCTGATATCACTTCTTCCATATTCACCTGTTCTTTGTGTATTACTGTTAAGTGTGGGAAGGGGGAAGTAATCCCTTTGTATGTGAAGTTCTACGTCGATTTAGTCTATGTGTCTATCTGTTCCCGCATTCAAACGACAAATAATATTGAATAAGTAACTGTCTAGAAGATCACATCATATCTGTAGGCTTCTGGTAACTTGTGACCTGTATGAAGACTCGAAGGAAATACTCATAACTTATAATTCTGATTCATTTCTTCTCTTACCTGCTGACAGTTCAGTTTTTTGTTCTAGTTCCATGAATAGGTATTGTAAGTCCTTCACTTCATCTTGTACTTGTGATATTTTCCAATTGTATTTAAGTAATAAATCGTTGACTAAGTACAATTTCATATGGTACATTTATGTTGTTATCTGTATTGATCTTGGTGGGAACAATATCACTCACTAGAAGGTAGTTACATCCAGCTGACGAGTCCTAAACAGGACGAAACATGCATTCTAAATTCCACTGCTAGTCACCATCCGTCATTACTATAAGATACGTAGAATTATGTTGTGAATACTGTAGATGTGATACTATTGAAGGGTCCAAATTACACAGTACATTTCATAGATATAATTTTTGAGATGTTGCCATAATTTTCAATTTATCACTCAAATAAATACACTCCTACTTTCCTACTTTCTAATATTACTAAATTTTAGATCTCTGGTATACTAACACATCCATTTGATGTCATTAAAACGCATAGACAAGTTGATTTTGGAAATCATTCATTTGGAAGTAGTAAGTTCATCATCATCATCGTCATTTTATTATTATTATTATTATTATTATTATTATTATTATTATTATTATTATTATTATTATTATCTTTATCAAGTTGAGTTGTACCTCATTGGTTTATGAAGATGATTTTCAACCAATAGGTTATAAGTTCCAGTCCCGTTCCACCTACCGAGGTTTTTGGCAATTAAGCAGAAGTATTATTAAGCTTCATATAAAATACATGTGACTCATTGCCTATTGCACAAATGTGAACAAGATTGTGGAGCGGATTTCCACTTCTTCAACTATCATTAACAACTAAAAAGATACTTTTAACTGTATATATTTCACAATAATTTATTTTGTTTGAAAATAATAAACACCTCCATTCATCGTATAAAGTATATCTTACTTGTATATCAATGTATCAGAGAGGTGGACAAATTAACGTACAACTTGACAGAGAAGTACATCACTTCAAGTTGCCACACTTCACAACAGCATCCAACGTAATCCCGACCGCGATAGCTGCTACCTTGACGTGGTGGTCGGGCTTGCATATCATAATGACCCGACGAGCTATGCTGGTGGAACACTTGTTCCCTCGAGGTCCTAGCATACCAGAAAGGTCTGTTGGATAGTGGTTAGACGAAAAACAGTTACCGTTGTGGTGTAAATTGCTACAATGTGATGGGGGTGTGAGGGTGAAGTCGTACAGCTGCTAGCTGAATTGGGTGCGACAGCAGTAAGATGTTTCCCTTGGACGACCAGAAGTGCCATGCTGATGCTGCCTTCCCAATGGGAGGGGGGGGGGGGTTAGAAAAGGTCGGCCCCAAGAATAACACACTCCACCATGCCCCACGGTCTGCAGGGCCGGTGGTGTTAGTTCATTTGTCGTTTCTTTTCTACCATCCGGCCCCAAAAATACAAAAGTTCAAAATAATGATACACAAAAGGCTGGGTGTTACAGGCCTCAAACAGATGTCTGATGGGCTTTGCGGTCATACAAATCTCTTTCAGGTACCCTAAGAAGAAAAAGCCTTCCACGGTGTGGGCACCTGGGCAGTGTCAACCGCGCTCACAACTCGATCAGCACTCAAGTTCCCTCAGACTGCTATTGACCAACGTAGATAGAAAAAGTGATATTAATGTATTAAAGTGAAAGTTAATGAAACTGTTCAATACTTCAAAGATGTTAAAAAGTATCTACGTCTTCACCATTGTAATCGATTTTTAGGCACACCATTAAAGAAGAGTTAGTAAGGTTTCAATGGATCAGCCCAATTCTTTTATTTCATACAATCACTCTCGTATCGTTTGTCCATTTGTAAAATAATAACAGTTGATAATAGAGTTTTCATTTCACTTGGTTGTGACTAACAGTGGGATCCAGGACGCGCGTTTCGTCCCGTTAGGAACTCGTCAGCTGGATGTAACTGTACCCCATCCTTTGAAATCAGCATGGAGCCAGGCATTACAGAGTAATGGTCCGAGTTACCACACCTCATGTCAGCCCATCAAGTAACAAAGCGGTGAAGTGGATGATGAAGAAGAGAAAATTCAGCCAAAAGAAATATAAGGTAGTAAGAGTGAGAAAGGAAGAATGAGAAAATAGTGATATTCGGTTTAGCGTCGTTAAGATGAAGATAACGTGTGTATACATCTGCTCCACTGACATCGGTTCCCAGCCATGTGATCACTTACAGTCAGTCTCCAACCACTGGTTTATCTTGTCCCGCCAACCCCAACCACCCAGTCTGCATCGCCCCACATGGCTGAGACCAACAATCAGAGACTTCATGCATTGATGCCATGTTTTAATCTAGTTGAGAGCCAAGAGCCTTCTCCCAGCCTGAACCGACTTCGGCCAATATTGTGTGACGAGGCAATCGGTGACTAGGCATACGTAACACGTACTTCTGGATTACTGACGTGGTGACACCACGGAATACGGCCTGTAGTACGAAGGCAATAGTGGTCAAACACCTGAAACCCTTTCATGTCTTCCATCCTCAATGGTCATGTTTCATAGCCATAGAGTAGAACAGAGTGGACTGCTGTGCAGCTGCAGTACACGCGACCCTTAATAGACAAACGGATACCACAGAGGCGCCATGAGTGACGTAAGTTGGCAAACGCCAGGCGAGAACTTTGTATTCTTGTAGAGATTTCATCGGCCACTGACGAACCAACCAGGGCTGATTCCACTTCCTAGGTAAGTGAAGTGGTCGACTCACTGAATCACTACAGTCTCTATTGTTAGCCGAGGAGGCATCGTTAAACACCAATCCTGGAACAACAATTTGCATTTGGGTGGTGAGAAACATATCTCAAACATTCTCAAATTGTCACTCAAAGTGTCCAGAAGACTGCATGTTTTCAGCGTCTTCATCTAACAGGACTGTCATCTGCGTATTCTGGGTCTAACGAAAATTCTCCTCCGGTTAGGTCAACCTCTGTGTAGTCAGGTGACGAGAGGGAGACCTCCATAAGAATATCTATGGTAAAATTGAATAAGAATGGAGAGAGTGGGCAGTCTTGATGGATACCGCTCGACGAGTACAGCTCTCCGGACATCTCACCATAGGCTCTAATACACCAACAAGTGTTCGAGTAGAGAGTCTTGAATAAGGTGTTTGTACTTACTCGACACGCCTTTTAGTGAGACATTTCCATAAGACTTCTCGACCAACGGAGTCGAATGCCGTCTTCGGGTCGATTAATACAGCTATTGTCGGGCTTTGGTGTTGTTCGATGTCGATGCTGTCCCCGCTGAGACTTGAGCCTTGTACATCAACAAGAAATTTTTTATTTATTTATTTTATCATTCGCATCACCAATGGCGAAATATTCAGTCAAATTAGCAAAGGGTGAGTACACTGCGCAATAGTTCCATCTTACCACTTTGTTTGACGACTATCAGACAACAACTACTTTATTTTGCAGGTTTGTGGGGATTTCTTGATTTCAAGGTTGATATTCATCATGGAGAACCATTGAAAACCTGGGAGCACTAGACGGCTGTTTCATTCTAGTATAGGCTTCTCAGCAGTTCGCATCTATGACCCCACTGGGAATCGAGCTCGGGTGTCGCGACTAGCACTTCACTTGTTTTAGATAGATGACATTAGGGCTTTTCATCGTAGCATTGTTCGCATGTAAATAAAATACAGCGGCCAATGCTGAGGTTCATTATTGAATATTAGGCAAGAAAAGTAGGTCAATCCGTCAAGTTGGGAGCTTACGTGTGTGTTATGCACGCCTAGTGATTATCTACCCGAATGCACAGTATTAGAATTGGTTAATACAAAGTTGAGCGAAAGTTGAACCAAAGTATGACGCTATCCTATGCGTTGTCAATCAGTTACAGTACATAAGACTGAGACTTTAATATTTTATTTCTTCATAACTTGTTCCATGACCGAATGACTATAAAAAGTCTGTTCAAGTGAATTGTTGATCAGTTTATGATCGATTAAATAGTAAGTGTATGTGATATGTTAATTATTGAAATATACTTTATTTCTTCTCTTTAAATATAGACTATTCTTTCCCAACATCGACTTGGGCATCTTTACAGCACTTGTACAGTAAAAATGGTCTTCCTGCATTGTTTTCTGGTGAGTCATTTATGTTTCAAAATATTTTGTCCCTTGGATTCCTAGTGAAACATAGAGCTTCAGCAGCACGTCTCCATTCCACTCTGTTCTCTGCAATCTTTTGAACCTGGCTCCACGACAACCCAGAAGCTCTCATTTCTTCCTCGTACGATCTCCTTCATGTCACCCTTGGACGCCCAACTCGCCGTTTCCCATCTAGGTTCCATTTGAGTGCCTAGCGTGTGATGTCTCCGAATGGTCTTCTCAGTGTATGTCCAATCCATCTCCACTTCCTTCTGCATATTTGTTGAGCGACAGGTTCTTGGTTGGTTGGTTCCTTGTTGCTTATTGTTTCTGGCCATCTGATCTTCAGTAACGAGCCAGCGTAGGCAGTTGTTGATGAATGTCTGTGGTTTGTTGGAAATGATTTTCGTCACACTTCAAGTCTCTCAACCATCAGGTAGAAGCACTGACTTGACTGACATTAGTGTTGAAAATCCTGATGTTGTTCAGGATTTATGCTGAGTGCAGAAGATCTCCACACTGGTTTGAGGTTAGTGAAGGTCTGTCTTGCTATCTTTCCGATCCTGGCTGCTTTGACGTCCTGATCTGTGCCGCCTGTAGTTGAAACGATGCTGTCTCGCCTAGATAGGTGAAAGAGGCTACTTCGTTTAAGTTTCTCCCATTGATGGTGATTGGTGCTTGTTGTTGGTGGTGGTGGTGACATTGGTTCGGTATCTTCATCACCTCTGTCTTTTCTACATTCACTTGAAGTTCCGTCTTCTCTGCCCTGTCTCTTCTGTCAACTTGTTAGTTTTTGCCTGTAGATTTTCCAGTTTGCGCGAGATTAGGCACAAGTCATCATTGGCGAAGTCCACATCTTCTAGGCTCTTTTCAGCCATCCAGCGTATCCCTGTCTTCTTGCTCTCCACTGTTTGCTGCATGATCCAGTCGACCACGATCAGGAATATCATGGGTGATAGTAGACAGCCTTGTTTTACTCCTGTCTTCACTTCACTTCGAAGGCATCACTGAGCTTCCCATTGTGAATTATTTGTCATGTGGTGTCTTCATATAACTGTTGAATGAGTTTGATAAAGGTTTGTGGTATTCCGTAGTGTTGAAGTAGCTGCCTGCCAAATTACTTGTCGGTCGACACTGTCAAAGGCCTTTTCAAAGTCGATGAAGTTGAGGTAGAGGGTTGATTGCCATTCTGTACTCTGTTCTATGATGATGCGTAGTGTAGCGTTGCGATTTGGTCCGCACATGATTTGTACTTCCTGAATCCAGCCTGTTCTGGTCGTAGTTTTGAGTCCAGCGCATCATTTAGTCTCTCCAGGATGATGCGGCTTTTTATTTTGCTTGGGCTGGACAGAAGTATAAAAAAGATACGTAATTTTATTTATTTCAATATCATCAGATCGGTATATTTTTCACATAGAAGCTACGATAGTGTAACACAGTGTAACACACACTTTCTTATCTCTTCTCTTCTTTTACTGGCCATGTTTCACAGCGACGTAGGATAACAGACAGAACTAAAGTGCAGTACACCTGGTCTATGATTTGCCATCACACATGCGCTATAAATGGCGTAAATTGACAAAATTCAATCCAGTTTTCTTCCATCCGTACAAAGATTTTATCAGTTACTGACCACCAAGCAGAGCTGTTACGATTCCCCAGCTGAGTGAAATGGTTAACACGTTCAACCACTTTAAACAAATAAAATCAATGACGAAATTTGAACACAAGTGCATCGGTTCAAGTTGCCATGCTTTATAGTAGCATGTAAAGAACAAGTTGGTAAAAAGAAAGGTGATATCAAAAATGTAAGAGGTGAAGGAATTTGAAGATAAGCGTTAGTGAGAATATTCCAGCTGTAGACGACGTCAAAGAGTGAATACATCTCCTCTATTTTGACCGATTTCCAGTCATTTCAACAATAGTTTTGAACTAGTGATTCCTATCGTCTCGTGGACCTAACCAAGGAGCCTACGCCTCTGTAGACGATTAAGACTAACGGTCAGAGACTTTATGGACTGGTGTCGGTTGCCGTTAGGTGTATGCATGTATTCGAGAACCTATTCTAGGATAAAAATATGATCGATAAGGCGTCGTCCAGTTATGAAATTCGCCTGATTTTCTCCAGTTTGCTATTCTCGAACTATAGTTACACATCGAGTTACTATGGACCCTAAGATCTTGGACACAATATTAGTCGAACTAATCCCCCCTATGGTTGTCACAAGATTTCTGCCCCTCCTGATAGACTAGGATGATCAGTGAAATACAGCAGTCTGATGGCTCTACCTCTGATTCTCATAAGCTCATTACCTAGTACCTCCGTTACCCTCTAGTCCACAATTTCCCACCTCCGTCGTTGAAAAATTCAGGTGGAAAACTGTTGGGTTCTACTGCTTACCATCGTTTCAGATTCAATACAACTTTATCAAGAAGAGTTAGATGACCGACATCTACGTCCAGTTCAGGTTCAAACTGGATGTTGCGCAACTGAAGTGCTGTTGAGAGCCAGTTGAGCCATGCTTCAAGGTGTTCTGCCCAACTTTCTAGCCTCCTGTCCTGAGAAGTTATCAGGATCCCATCGTAGGGAGAATTATGATTTTATAAACTCTGTTTCATAGTTGTCGAGTTAGTTATGTGATGTGAATACGGACAGTGAATTGTGTTCGAAAAGTTACGTTATTCAATAAATGATACTGTTCTTTCTTTACGGTGTGTAACATCATCTCGAATAAACAGACTAACATGGAAGTACAGTTTGAATTCGCTTATTTCTAAAATAAAGTGTATATGCATATGTATATCTATTCTTGTATTGTAGGCTTTACGCCAAGACTATTGAAAACTACCATCTCATCTGCAATTATGATGGCTATTTTTGAAAGTTTAAAAGAAACATTTGTAAATATTACAATAAGTTAGTGTATATTTTAGGATATACATATCAAATTGGTTATATTTTCTTTCTTTCAAAGCATATTGTGTTAAGTAGAATTTTCTTAGCATATGTTAATGTATAAGGAAGAGTTACATTTCATTTTGATAAAACATCTTTCTTATTGCTGGTTACCTCATAAAAAAAAAACAATATGCATATATGTACCTATTGAGTGATTTATATTCAAACTAATTATTGTTAACTGAATACAAATATAGAATTCAGTAATGCGAAAATTCCCATTTAGACATTTAGTAAAACAAACAATATGAGCAAAGAAATATTTCTTTTCAATTACTTCTTCATCAATAGCTCTACACTAATGTATGTAACATTTTCAAACGTAAAATGACATACCAATCTAGTGGTGAGAGTTGTTCAATGAAAGGTTATCAATCTCAAAGTATCAACAAGGTGATAATTGATCAGGTAATTAAGACAGTTAACTAAAGCAAAGATTAATTATCGTAGGGAGATTTTGTGAACAGGTTCTTACATAACTGATATTTTGTATAATGATAACTAAAGAGTAAAAATGAACTGGTACGTAAAATGGTAAACTGTTGACGGTAATTAGAGACAGTAGGGGAAAGAAAGATGGTTAGGTCTGTAATATATCGTGAGCTAACAGAAGTTGGAAATATGGAGCATTGGATTCTGACCCAGTGGGTCAATGGTAACGCGCTGGCCGTGGAACCTGAAGGTCGCGGGTTCGATCCCTGCTGGTGGGGTCGTGGGTGCGCACTGCTGAGGAGTCCCATACTAGGACGAAACAGCCGTCCAGTGCTCCCAGGTTTCCTTTGTTCCTCTAACTGATGTCAGTCTACGATGAATAACAACTTGAAATAATAATAATAATAATAATAATAATAATAATAATGGAGCTATTAAAATATTAGTTATAGTGAATTGTGTGGTGGATGAAATGAAGAGTCTTGTTGTAATAAATGAGCTATACAGATGGCTGAGGCAAAGAAAGAGGCTGTACGAATCTCTTCTGAACACACAAACTTGGCTTGTGTAGGTGGATTCCTATGGCTTCTGCTGTATGTAAAAGACGGACTCGTAGAGGATGGGTGAGATGAGAAGGAATGTGATAAATAACTTTAAAGGCATTATGAATGTTAACCCGGTGGCCGGTGTCAATCAGATGAGAGAGTATTGAGCTTCGTGTCAGTCTGGTTTCCCTCTTACTTAAGCAATTTATGTAAGAACCTGTTCGCAAAATCTTTCTACGATAATTAATCTTTGCTTTAGTTAACTGTCTTAATTACCTGATCAATTATCACCTTGTTGAAACTTTGAGATTGATAACCTTTCACTGAACAACTCTAACCACTAGATTGGTATGTAATTTTACGTTTGAAAATGCTACATACATTAGTGTAGAGCCATTCATGAGGAAGTAATTGGGAAGAAATATTTTTTCGATCACATTGTTTGTTTTACTAAATATAGAATTCATCAACTTTGAGGAAAGGAAGCAACTGAATAGTGAGTCGATCAGGTTGTTTTCAACTCATTCTGTCAACAACAACAACAACAACAACAAAAGCAAACCTTCAATTGAAATACAACTGAGAAAAGTATTCTATGACTTGATTTTACTAATCTCCTATTTTAATTGAATCATATTAGAACTTAACGATAGACAATTATAGTACATTGATATTGTTACCTCCATCTTGGTTATATGGATACTTTTTACATCTGCATCTAATCTTCATTTGCATATCCAGTCTGTTTGAAGGGTAGTTGTTCTTCACCTATACTCATCGAATTCTTTCAACAACAAAAAAAATACTATTGCTAGTACCATTATAACAGGCTTATGTTAACCTCTAATAAGTTAATCTTTTTACAAAAAGAAAAATATCTTAGAACCATACTTTTCACGTTGAGATTTTTATCTCATAATTATGCGTAATATAATAAACTTTGAAAGGAAATAGTCGGTTTGTTTGTTGTATACCTAATAGTTATTATGGCATGAGGAGTAAGTAAGTAAGTAAGCAAGCAAGTAAGTAAGGTTCTAATGAAAAGACAGGACCAATAGGGTAAACCAAGTTGGACATGATGACAGTTACTCAACGATGGAATTCGATGGAAGTTGTGGTATATCGTGAACTGACAGGAAAAGGGAATATAGACCATTAGATTCCAACTCAGTGGTAAAGTGCTGGCCGTGGAACTTGAAGGTTCTGAGTTCGATCCCTGGTGCGGCGGTGGATGCGCACTTCTGAGTAGTCCCGTGCTATGACGAAACAGTTGCTGTCCAGTGGCCCCAAGTTTTCAATATTTCTTCAACTGTAAGTCTGAGGTAAGAAGAGATGAGAAGTTGAAATGCAGTAGGAACAGCAAATGAGTGATAATGATGAGGAATAATCGTTAAGGAAATTGGTTCACCAGGAGGATGAGTTGGAAACAAAGTTATGAATCGCGAAGCGTATGTTTTCTGAAGTATTTTTGATCGCTGATGAGTGAATGCAAGACGAAGTGAGTAAAACATTGGCAATTGCTGGTATAATTATCACCACTTTTCAAACGTTGTGTATGTGTGTGTGCATATTAACGTAAACATGTTGGAGTGGATCTTGCTAATGTAATCACTGCTGATGGTGTTTACCTAACTGCAATATTATTATTATTTGTCCCTTCGGTTCCTAGTGGCTTCAGTAACATGCATGCATTGCACTCTGTTATCTGCAGTCTTTTGAACCTGGCGCTACGACTGCCCACAAGCTTTCATTTCTTCCTCACATGATCTCCATGTCGTCCTCGGACGCCCAACTCGTCCTTTCCCCTTTGGATTTTACTCGAGGGCCTGGGCTGGCACGTGATGTCCTCGAATGGTCTCAGTGTATGCTCAATCCGATCCATCTCCACTTTTTTCTTCTGCATATTTGTTAGGTGTCGGGTTCTTGGTTGGTTCGCTGCCAGCCAGCCAGAGTTCCTTGTTCCTTATTCTTCCTGGCCATCTCATCTTCAATAACGAGTGTAGGCGGCAGTTGTTGATGAATCTCTGTAGTTTGTTGGAAATGATTTTCGTCACACTCCAAGTCTCTCAACCATCAGGTAGAAGCACTGACTTGAATGACATTAGTGTTGAAAATCCGCATCTTGTTCCACATGCTGAGTGGAGTGCAGAAGATCTCCACACTGGTTTCAGGTTAATGAAGGCCTGTCTTGCTTTTCTGATTCTGTCTTTGACGTCTTCGTCTGTGCCGCCACCCGTAGTTGAAACGATGCTGCCTAGATAGGTGAAGGAGGTTACTTCCTTTAAGTTTCTCTCATTGATGGTGATTGGAGCTTGTTGTTGGTGGTGGCAATGGTTGGGTATCTTCATCACCTCTGTCTTCTCTACATTTACTTGAAGTCCCGTCTTTGCTGCCCAGCCTCTTCTGTCAACTTGTTAATTTTCCCCTGTAGATCTTAATAATAATAATAATTCACTTTATTCCAAACAATTTGTGGTACAATTTGGAATTCTCAGCGTTATATATATTGCAATAACAACAAAATATAAGTATATACATACTACTTTGCAGCCTTTCGAATTGTTTTATTATAAAAATTTAAGTTATGTGAAGAATATTAAAAACGAGAAAATTTTGCATTGTAAGTTAAATTATTGAAATGAGATTTTTAACTGTCACAAAGTTGATGTGTGATTTCTGTTCTAACACTTTTTTCCTCACAAAATATGCGTGCAAGGTAAGGTACAGTCGAATTCTTATACTTAGCTGTACGAGCATACAGTCTTATGTAGTTTCTCCTTGTCCTCCCTGAGGAGATACATGGAGAGAGCTGTAAATGAAGTGGATGCTCACTGTCAGTTAAAATTTCTGTAGCTAGTAGCTTGCAGGAATTTATATGTCGATCAACTACAGTGTTAATCAGTTGAGCCAGAGACACACCACTCACCCTGCTGACGGTCTTCAAAGCCCTACGCAACATAACATAGTCCTTTTTAAGAAGACCAGGAAAGATTAATGGGGAACAATATAGAAGAATAGGTAAAATGCAGGAATTAATAAATTGTAAAAGAAGCAGTTGAGTTATACCAGAAAGCCTCAATTTCTTTACGTAATAAGTTAAACGAAAGATTTTTTTACAAGTCAATAAAATATGGGACGACCAACAAAGGTCAGAAGTAAAACCCAACCCAAGATAGTTCACACTCGATTTACTTTCTGCAGAAATACCATTGATGCAGCAGGCGTCATGAGATTTAAGCAGCTCACATAAGTCTTGTTTACGCCTGAGGCTAAAATTAACGGTCTGACATTTAGAGGGGTTTAGTTTGAGACCATTTACCAACTTCAGACAAGAATTCATTTAATTTCGAGCAATCCAAAGAAGAGTTTACTGGAATAGAAATCGTCAGGTCGTCAGCATACTTGATAAAATTAGTTTCAACAGAATAAGGCAAATCGTGCAAAAAAAGGAAAACAGAAAAGGAGAAAGTACAGCACCTTGAGGCACACCAGCTTCAGTAAGCAATGAAGTGGAGCGCATCCCTTTATGAATAGTGTACTGTTTCCTTTCAGAAAAATAAGAATGCAGCCATTTTGTAACCCATGGATCAGTGTGAGCTATGGCAAGCTTATTTAACAAAAGTGGTCTAGGAACAGAGTCAAAGGCTGATGAGTAATCCAAAAAGGCACAACGGACATACTTAACACCTTTGTCGAGACTAGAAACAATATTATGATGCAAGACAGTAGCAGCATCTAAAGTACTCCTCCGGTGTTTGTAAGCAAACTGTTTTGGATCTCTGAAGGCCATCAATGAAGGCTCAATCACAAGCAGAAGTAATTTCTCCATTGTCTTCAGAAAAGGGGAAGTTATAGCGATGGGTCGAAAAGTAACATCTGATCCAGAAGATGGCTTAGGCACAGGTACAATTTTTATCTGCTTCCAAGCAGTGGGTATTATGTTTTTAGAGAACGATACATTGAAGATATCTGTAAGTGGATGACAC